GAACCCTTACTGTGCTTATTCCACACGTAAGGTGTTGCCTGCAACACACAAAAATGTGATACCTACCACCCAGAAAGGTTTAATTAAATAAAAGAAGTGGATTGATACTGAAACCATTACTTTCCATCAAAAAAGTATAGACACAAATCTAAGAATCAAGTGTGATGTAGGGAGTGGGGCTCAAGTGATACTAGATATTTTGAGATAAGGAAAATTATATTTAAAATTTAAAACTAATATATATAGGAATTAGCAGAATTCCAGGCATTAATTATTCACAAGCTAAAATCTGGTGAAAGTAACATTACAACAAAGTAACCAGTATTGGTAATTTCATCATAACTTTTGATTTCAAGATATTGTTAACTACTATCAGATACTAACAATTTCACATAGTTTTGGTTACTAAACAGGTTGCCAAAAGTTTCCACAAAAAACATATTCTTTATTAAAACTTATTATGTAAGTCTTAACTTAGTGACTAGTTCCTGTATCCTATATAATGAATTATTGCCAATTCCTGGGGTAAAGAAAAATATTCTAAGATGTCCATACAAGATAAAGACAGCAAGAGCTATCCTACACCATAATCTCAAGATACACACATCACTGAATATTCAAAATAATAGATAAAAATGGAAAAAGCCTAATTCATACCAATCTGTACAATTATCTGTGTCACCCCTTAAGATGGTAAGGGAGTGGACGTAAACACAGGACCAAAGTGATACGTGCTTTTAGCTGTTGTCATATGTAACCTTTACCTAATTTATAGGATTAACACATGTTTATGACTATTTAAAATACAATCAATAATAATGTTATAATTACATGCAGAACACCTTCCAAAAATATACCTAAATAAAGGTATGTTAAATAGGGAGAAAAAAGTTAGATTATGCTACCCAGGGGTACAGGTGGAGGATATAACTGATAGATCAGGAGATATATTCAATGAGTTGGCAGAGATGCAGTTTCTGTTGTGCATGTAGGGGTTAATGATTTAGGGAAAGGTAGGTCAGAAAGGCTAATTAATAAGTACAAGGAGTTGATAAAGGCATTTAAAGAAAAAGGCCATAACTTAATTTTGTGAGGGATACTGCCCAGAGTTAACTGTAGGGATAAAGTTAAGTAGGTCACTAGGGCTAAAAGCTGGCTTAGGTTAGTATGTAAGGATGAGCAAATTGGCTGGTTGGACTTGTGAGATCAGTTCAATGGAAGAAGGGAGCTTTAGGGAATGGATGGTTTACGTTTAACCCGATTACTACCGGCTACTAACTTTCTGTGTAGCAAGTCTTGCTATATTTCATTCTAACAATAAAACTAGTGGATGAAATTGTTTGAAACTAAGTAAGAACTTTCATAAATACACGTAGTTTAAGAAACATAAGGCCTGTTACTTTTCATAAATTTAGTTTTTTTGCATTATGATATTTAATATCTTGGCAAATTACATTAGGAAATGGTATTTATAAAATATGATTACAATATTTATATTTGTTCCAGATTTGAACTTCATGCTTTTTATGTTTTAGTACATTATTTTAAAATCTCTTAAAAACTTTTTATCATCCATAAAAGGCAAATTTTGTCTATTTCTAATTTTCTAATAATCACATACTCTCCTTATTGTTTCAAGTAATATACAAGAACTGAAAATAATAATTCCAAGTAAACCTAAACAATAAACAAGTATTTTTTTATTTTTAACTAGGGTTTCATGTTCATATATGTACATAAAAAATGTTTTAATTTTGTTTCATAAATGTATTTTTATTTGAAGTTTATGTTTCATTGCAGCTGTACTTTTGTTTATTGTGCCAAAAAACTGTGAGGTTCGCAGCGTGAACTTTGTACATTTGCTGTAAACTATCATGCTTTTTGGCAGTCACTCTTGTTCAGTCCAGCACAGGTGCATTTGAATATTACTGTAGATATGATAGTAAGAAAGCTTTTCGGTACTTGAAATTGGTTAGGAATTGGATATGTAAGTCACTTGCTACTATTTTTTGTATGTACTTGAATAGTGGGCAGATACCAGAGGATTGGAAGTTAGCTAATGTCACTCTTCTTTTCAAGGGAGGTGATAAAAAGTGTCCAAGTAATTATAGGCCTATTAGTCTTACATCGGTAATGAGAAAAGTTTTGGAAAGTCTGATAAACGATGCTTTACAAAGTCATTTAATAAAGTTTAGAGTTTCATTGGACAGTCAACATGGTTTCACGAAGGGAAAATCTTGCCTTACAAATCTTTTAACATTCTTTGAAAAGGTTACTGCTTATGTAGATGAGGGTAATGATGTAGATTTGGTGTATATTAATTTTCAGAAAGCATTTGACAAGGTGCCTCATAAAAAGCTTGTAAAAAATTATCTTTATAAGTGTGGGGGGATAAGTTATCAAATTGGATAGAAGAAAATAGATGGTTGTTACAAATGGAGTTCAGTCAAACTGGATTAATGTTACAAGTGGGGTACCTCAGGGCTCAGTCTTAGGACCTTTCCTCTTTGATTTACACCAATGACATAGATGAAGGAATAGTCAATAAATTACTTAAATTTGCTGATGATATTAAGATCTTGGGTGTTGTTTCCTGTGAAGAAGACGTTGCTGATTTATAAAAGGATTTAGATCATTTAGTGAGTTGGGCAAATAAATGGCAAATGGCTTTTAATTATAATAAATGTAAGATAATGCATTTGGGTTATCATAATTGGAATTATAAGTATAATTTGGATGGGAATAACCTTAACAGTGTCATGAATAAAAAGGGATCTTGGTGTAATAATTGATCAGTATCTAAAGCCATCCAAGCAGTGTGCTTGTGCTAATGGTAGAATAAATAGGATTTTAGGTTGTATCTACAGAAATATTAAAGAGGTTATAATTTCGTTGTATAGGTCACTGGTTAGGCCATATTTGGAGTCTCAGGAAGGACATTGAATTGTTGGAAAGGGTTCAGAGGAGGGTTACTTGAATGATGCCTGGGATGTAGGGGTTGTCATACAAGGAGAGGTTGAAATCTCTCAAATTGTTTTCTCTTGAAAAAAGAAGAGTAAGAAGGGATCTGATTGAGGTGTTTAAGATTGTAAAGGGAATTGACAGTGTCCATGCATCATCTTTTTTCATATTTAACAGAGAATAGTAGGACTAAGGGACACAAATATAAATTTTGGCAAGGTAGGACCCAACTTCAGCTAAGGCAGTTTTATTTTTTTAACAGGGTAGTTGGCCTTTGGAATGGGTTGCCTTCAGATGTTGTGTAGGCAGTAATTTTAAGTGAGCTTATGAGAAAGCTTGATTAGTATATGAATGGTAAGGTCTGGCTTCAAGATTTTTTGAAACTAGTTTTAGTTTAGTTTAGAGGATAGGACAGCCTAAATGGGCCAATACATCCCATGTTGTCCCAAAACGTTATTTTGTGTTCTTGTTTCATAATGACAGTACAGCATTCTGTCCTGCAATCATAACTGATTACCCAAGTGATAGATGCTGTGTACATCAGTTTTGTGATGGGCATCCACTATTTTGCTGCACAGCAAATAATGTTTGAGCTTGGTCCAAGTCCTTCAGACTAAGGATAATGTGGTGAAATATCTGCTTTTTAAACAACTTTGCAAACAACTGGCTGTCGAAGTCAAATCCTTGATCCATGTAAGATTCCAAGTCCTGATTGGTCATCTGCAATGTCTACTCAAAGGTAGAATTGTCACTTCTTTTGCACGGTTATTAGTCACTGCTGCTGAAATGGCCATAATTGTCAAATGGTTTCCAAGATATAAACAATGAACAAATGGACATTATCTCGCAGGTTGACAAGAAATTCCATTGAGGATTTTGTGCTGTTGAGCTGGGCTGTGTTGTACAACAATGTAGTACTCTTGCAGAGGTGTATCCAACATCCAATCATACCTATAAGATGTTTGAAGTTCAAAAGCTATTCCAGTGATTTATGTTCCAATCAAATAGTGGCAGTATTGTCTTTGATAAATACTAAAACTTCAAGCAGTTCTTTCTTTCTTTATTATACAGTATCGGTATTCAGCATACAACTCACACACAAATCAAGCACTTCATGTTATTCTGTACGAAAAATAAATTCTATTATCACTGGCATCTGTATGCACAATGAATGGACAATCACCATGAGGATAAGCCATAACTGGTGCTTTCTCCAAAGCACACTGAAAGAGTTTACATATCTTCACATTCCAATATCCATACAATAGGCACATCAACTTTAGCCAGTACAGACACTGGTAAAGCTATTTTGGAGAAAGTGGCCACAAACTGCTACTGTCACATAAATAAGTTCTTTGGTTGGTAAAGTAGCACCCAACATTACAAGGACTTATTTAGTATCATAAAATCTACAAGTTATATAGACATATCCAGAAATCAAGTCCACAAGTTGTTTCATCACTAAGATACTACTATAAGGCCACATTCAGGAGTGTAAAATCAACAAATACTTTAGTCACTAAAATATACTCAACACTATAAGGACACATAGAGAAAAGTCCATTCTATGAGTTCTTCACTGGCTAAAATATCAATCATTTATTTCAGTCAGTGTAAATGAAAATATTTACAAAACAACTATGAAAAACAAACAAACACATTTTACACTAATTTCTATTTCAAATAAAGTCTCATAAAGATTCTTCTTACTTTGTTTTTGTGAGCATTGATGGAAGCATAGCGAACAGTTCCTCTAAATCCTGCTGCAGATCGGGGAGGTCGTACTTCACCAGATGCTGTTACATACTGCCGAGCAAGACCAAAGTCTAGCATGTACACTTTACGACAGTTGTGAGGTTGCCGTCCCATGGAGAAATTGGACTGATAAAGAAATAAAAGCTATGGTTTCTTGCTTTTATTTAAATGTATATTACTATGATTTATTTTAGTGAATCTGCATAAAAATTAAATAAATTCTCAATTTTTCTTATTAATTAATAATAATTTTTGTTTTGTGTCACAATAGGTTCTCTATAGCCACAGGATTGTTAGCTCTAAAATATTACTTTTTAGTACTTTAGTACCGTGTTGAGGATTTACACAAGTTTCCAACAGTGCTCATTCTGTAATCATAAAACCTCTGTAAATTAATATTCAAGCTGAAATGAGTTTTAACTCTTCTTGTAGTACTCCCAAGTCTGGCTATCTTTATCAGCAAGAGAACTTTTGTAAGAAAAAAAAATGAAAGACCTAAAGAATCTGAATATTTAAATATATCACAATTAAAAAAACTGGCATAATTCTCTCTAAAAACATGTAGATATACTAGCAGGGAAAATGTTAAAACTTGTGAAAAGTAACATATTGTTTCATATGCTACCTTTTAGAAAGAAACATATTTCATTTTTATAAGTAAACGGTAACTTGATTTTTTCCCTTGTCACCAACAACTACACTTTATAGTCAAAGTAAGCTTCCTAGATGTTAGTTTTCCTTTTTTTTTACTTCCTAAGAATTGTGAGAACTAATAGTTTGAATGTTAAAATTTAGTTTTTGATTTATTATTCATGCCATATCATGTCTTCTTTAAATGTTGTTTTGCTCAGCTGTTTAGTGTAATAAACATAATCCAAATAGTTTAAAAACTATAATATTAATCAAACACTATATATAAACAATAGTACACATGTGTATGACAAAAGTAACATACTGAAGTTGAAGTTTTTTTCTCACCATTAACAGCTTCCTTACGTAAAAATGTATTTCAGATGATAAATTCCATAAAACGTATACATAATAGTTCAGTTCGTGCCATTGCCAAAAAGACTTGGCACATTCCCCAGACTTTGAACAAAACTCTTGCTCCTTCACATGATAATGTATACTTTGCCAGTTTATGATGCAACCAGCATTAGACTAAAGCCCTGCACCAGTAAATACATTTTCAAATCAGGAAAATGTCAACTTAAGAAATGATACTCATTATTTCACAAACTGGAATTCTAGAATTCCACATTGATAAGATGGTTGGTGGACAGGTGTATATAAAAAATTAAAAAGGATGAGCTCCCTTCTGAGAATAAAGTGAAAATAAAGGAAAAACACAGTGTGTCACCCACTAGGGGGGGGGGGGGGCAAATAGGAGTATCACTCAGCGGGAGACTGTACTCTTACTACAATACAAGTGGTAGCACAGAAATCTACAGTTAAAAGATGCATTATGCTAAGGCATGGCAAAGGTGTGCAGAATGTAAAAGCTTACTTACTGGCTTATAAATCTCAGGGGTTCAACAGAATATACCTGTGTAGGGTGTATAGGACCATAAATCAAGCTGTACAGTACATGAGAAATACTTAAGTAAGCAACGGTAAGTATGAACCACCCTACACCTGTATCCCAAGGAGAACAAAAGACCCATCCAGATGGTCACATCCACTATAAATGGTCTAGTTCTTAGTGTAGGAGTGGCCTGTACCTCATTTCCAGTTAGACACTCCTGCCCTACTTCTGACTAAGGGGTGTATCCACTCAGTCTCATACTAGTGGGATTACACCAAACTGAAAGGAATCTCTTTATATCAACCTCTCCAACTGCTTGGTATTGGGGAAGCAAGGGTTCTCCCACTCCACTAGAAGAAAACATGAGGAAGGATATTGTGTAGGGTGAACATGGGAGAGATGCACGGACTGAACAGGAATTATTTATCATATACATAAGGTTCTACACCACACACTGAGAGACTGTGCAATAGGTTACTGCAAATAGAGACAGCAGGAGCTGCCCAGGTATTTGGGATGGGGTAAACCACTACAAATAGGGACAGAAGGAGCTGCCCAGGTATTGTGGATGTGATGAATCACAACAAATAGGGACAGCAGGAGCTGCCCAGGTCTTGAGGATGGGGTGAACCACAACTGTTTTTTTTTTTGGAAGAGGCAGTATGGCTTGAAGAATGAAATACAGTAACTACCAACACAGTTTCCAGAAAGCCTGATCTCACACGTGTGCGATAAGCAGAAACAGATTGGCTTAACGCTTTCTGTTATTTCCTACTCAATGCTGATTTTGGGAGAAAGAAGAATTCCTTATAATATAACACCATGGGTTCCACTGTCTCCAATATATATATATATATATATTATTATTTATTATTATTTATCCTTTGTTTTGGTGAAGTTATCAGAAAAAAAAATATACAACTCACCTCTTTAGAGCTTCTGAGAAGATTGGAGAATAGCGACTGGGGGCAGACACAACCCAGAGTTGAAGAAACTGCAATGTGATGTAAGGAAAATAACCAAAAAGTGTTGAGGGGTTCTCATCTCTGCTTACAATATTTCATCCAGATGACATCAACAGATAGTGGCAAGAAAAACCAAGAGATAAGCTAGAAGGGAGGTGACAAAAAAGTCATCTCCCATACAGGAATAGAGAGATTGGAAGAGTAGTTTAACTCGTATGGTCAAGGTAAAAAGAGTTACAGGATATCAAGGTGAAAAAAAAAAGATGTTGACTGGTTTGAAATTGGAACAAGCAAGATAACAGTGAACTACCTGAACAGTATAAATGAGATCAGGGTCTGAATAATTGTACAGAGAAGAAAGGGAAGGAAGCACAATTGGAGAAAACCTCTGATCACCCTTCTAAGAAGCTAAGTCTTGATGAGGAAGGAGCAGTCTGGGAATAAAATCAACTTGTGCCTGTGGTAAAAACTGCAGGAGGCTTCCAAGACAAAAATATCAGTGATGATTCCTACAAGCAAACATGAAAAGGAAGTAGATTTAAAAAATGATGATAAAGAGAAGAGGTAGCCAAAGGTTTAAAAGAAGTACATGTAAGAGCCCTTACAACTAAACAGAGGTTCCAGTCTGAAAGAGAAACTAGGTGAGAAGGACCACTGAATAAACAGGCTCAAAAGAAGTCTAGTAGTGTAGAAGGAAAAGAGAATAGCCAGGGAAAAGATGGAAAGTCATCAACAAGTCCACACTATAACTGGGCAACCACAGAAATGAACAAATTGCCCTCAAAAGCCAGGTAAAAATGGTGAGATAAGGAAGAGTCAGACAACTTTGAGGAAGGTAGTGTTGAATCAACCAACACTGATAACCATCCACTTACACTGATAAATTGCAAAGGTAGATGGCCTACAAGAGCAAGTTAAAACACAAGCTATTCTGTGAGAAAAAGTTGCCTATCTTGCAAGGTACCAGCCAAAAGTCACATGTGAAGATGAAACCATGGAACATCACATGGAAAGTTAATGTCTATGACTGAGGTAAAACTGATCTTACTTTGCAAGGAGTGCTGTGAAGAAGTCTAAGAGGAGGATAGGCATACAGAAAGAATATACACCAAGCTAGACTTACATTAAATACTGCAAAGACCATGGAGCCTGGGGACAGAAAAAAATAAAAATGGAAGCCTGGTGTAGAGGGGAGTCACAAATGCATTGATAAAATGACTCCCAAAGTGGGAATAAATCCAGAAAAACATAAGATATAAAACCCATTATGTTAAAAGGATTCAGTTCAGATGAAATAACAAATCTCCACTAAATTCAAAACTCCTAGAACATGGAAGGCCAACAGCCAGATGTTATTGTCATAAACCTAAAAGTGGAGCTCAAGAACAAGAAAGCAGGGGATCAAGAATGAGTACCTCCCTGTTGGTTGATGTATAAGAAATTACAATGGAGTTGTTGAAATATATCAAAACAGCTGAAACAAAAGATTTTGGCTGGTCCATTGAATTCCACACATTTCAAGGGTGTTGATATAGAAAGACCACTTTGCAGTAGACCAAACAAGGAAAATGGTGACGGTATCCAGAACCATACCCCACCCAGGTAGAAAAGCATTTGTGAACAGGTGCAAGTCCAGGAAGGATGGAGAAAGATTGAATCAAGCGGAAACCTTCAAGCCATCACAACGGCAAGAGGAAATAAGATAGAGGTAGAGTAATTAAAGAGAGTGGATCAGAGGGTATATTCCACCGAGCTGTCAGACCCCACTGGAGGGGACACAAAAGAATACATCCAGAGGTAGAAAGGACAAAAGATAAGAAAGACTTCCCAAAAGAAACAGAACCTCGTATATAGAAACAAAAGGAGACATCAGAGCTTTAGAAACCAGAAGCTCAATACCTCAGAAATGTAGAGGAGGAAGTTGGGCCAACTCAGCAAATGAATTTATAAAAACTTCCTAATGAATCTGATATGGAATGGGAGATAATACTGACTTACAAGCCTAGCCAGCTATCTCAAATGAGCAGACTATCTAAAGACAAGAGAAGACTCAATAGATGCCTCCCATTACACAGTAGGAGATGCCAAATACCCATACGTAGTGGAAACGCAGTTCCAATGAGCCATGAGTTTCTTGCAGTCTGAGTTCACAGGTGAGCAAAATGTAAAAGTCAAACTAATTAAGGACTGAAGCTGATCCACTGAGCCTTATGAAAGCTGGCTTTTTAAGAGAGGAAGATATCAGGAAAAAGCCACAGGATGAAGAACTCACCCCCCAAAAAAAACTACTGCACAAAGGAAAGATATCAAATGGTGTTACCTAAGATAAACATGAGAGAGTCTAGCTCTAGAAAACAAGGCCTCCTGATACAGTTTCTGAATTACAATTAGCACCCATGTGATATCAGTGGTATAGTCAAGTACATATGCAGGTAAATATCATTTACCTACTTATAATTTATATGATATAGCATTATTCACTTCTTAAAAAAGGGGCAACCTAAATTCATACAATGCTACCTTCCTCAGCCTGGAGCATCAAACAGGCAAATTTACCCACTTTATTATTTGCCACCACACCACTATCACATAGTTAATATTTATGGTAATTTCAATGATGTAAGAAAAAACAGCTCATAACATATATGCTCATATTTCAAAGTTCACAACTTTATTACTTTCACCAATACCATACTTTGTCTTTAATTTTTATAGCAAACATCTAACAAAATGCATTATTTGTAACATAGTAGGTCCTTGTAAATTTAAAAGTGAACACTGGTAAATAAATCAAAGGAGACACAACATGCTTAAGTAAACCCAGCTATAGTCTTTTTGTTTAACAGTACATGTTAATTTACCATTACAAGAACTAATAGCTTAATTGCTGGAACAGGTCTTCTACCTTATCTTCTTCTGTCTTTCGTTTATTAATATTTGTGTGTGACTTCTGCCCTATATTTTAATATAAAACAATTTCCTTGTGGTCAATAGTTAATCCCAAACACATGCTTACATAACAGAAGAGTATAAATTTTAAAATTAAACTATGTACTATGAACCTCTGCCTAAATAATTTCTTTTACATAATATATTTCACTCTTTTCACTCTTTATATAGTTTCCATATTCTTCACAATATAAAAGTATAGATTGTTGTTCGATACAGTAATCAATAACTTTCATTTCAAAAGTTCCATCACATATGCTGTCCTACTTAAGTCTATACTCTTCCATATTTTAGTCATTTGAGAAACTGCTGAGTAACTATTGGAATTTGATAATCGATTTATCATAGGGATCATTAATTGATTATATTCAACCCATCAATTATTTTCACACAAAAGTTGGATAGTTGGAATAATCAAACATAGCTGTAATCAGAAACACTAATTTCAATTATATGATTATTTTTGGGAGTCATGACAACAGTTGATAAAGCTGACAAACCTTGAATTAATTGAACCTGATAATGAGAAATCATAATGGCAATATTTTAATTACTTGGATAGTTGCAATAACCTAACACAGTAATAATCAGAAACACTAATTCCAATTAGTTGATTAGTTTTGTGACGTTAATCAATTTAATCATAATTTTTATTGATTATTTTAAGTGACAGTAGTTAACTGTTCACTTCTACTAATTGGATTAGTAAAAGTCAAACTCCTGATGCTAAAAACAACCAGTTCAATGGTATAGGATCTCAGTGAATGATTTTTAAACACTTATAAACAAACATTACTTCTAAATTATATCCTTCATTTATGCTAGAACCTCTCATTACTAAAGAGGAAAAAAGGGAAATGCAAAGTATGAATAAAAACAAAACAGAGAATATACATATACATTTACCCAAAATAGCAGAGTTACATTTAAAATCCATATTAAATACAATATAAAATATCAGTTAAGAGCTTTTTGGTTAAAACTCCCAACTTAGGTTTTTCCTATCTTTCTTGTAGCTTTTTAGAAATATGTGCAATATAGAAAAAATTTGAGAAGAATAATTAAAAGTGCAAGAGCTCAATAGAAAAACAAGTAACTTTCAGTATCTCACAGGTTTAACATCTCGGTGGAGAAATCCAACTTCATGAATGCTTTCAATGGCTTTCAGTATTTGCAACCCCAACCGTAGAGTTGTGCTGAGACTAAAGGCGCTACGAGGTTGGCTACGACGTAATTCAGCAAGATTCTTCCCTTGTAATTGCATCACAACATAGTTGAAACGATCATTGCGTCCACATCCACTAAATCTACAGACATGCTCCTTTCCTGTAAATATTTATGGATCAGATTTAACATATGCTACATTTATTTGTGTGTGTACTGTGTTTCAAACTTGATAGAGACTATGTTAATAAGAAGAGTTGGTCTAAAATCTACACTGGAGAAGACCAGAGGGATCAAATCAGCAAGCTTTTATTTAGTATTATCCTGTATTGGGATGATCAAATGAAATGGGTTTTGTTTGTTATTAAGCAAAAAGCTACACAATGGGTTCTGTGCTGTCTTCACCATAAATATTAAAACCCAATTTTTGGCATTATGAGCCCTTAGACTTACCACTCAGCCTCTGGAGGACCAAATGGAATGGAAGAACCAGGATAGATATATGATATGCATACATATTTATAGTATACATGTAGTATGAACTAAGTAAAAAGTTAGATGACAAAATCCATGTTATAACAGGAGTGTTGTGTATGCATTATTGGTATACTGAATACCTATTGAAGAATCACTAAATTGATTTTCCATCTGCCTAATACTAACTGAAGATAAATTATAACAAATAAACCTTTTCATTTTGAATTCCATTACTGTATACATCTTGAAGATAAAGTATACCATAAATATTATCTGAACTACAAAAATAATTAATAAATGAACAAATATGTAATACTGGATTAAGTAAGCACAATAAATCTGGTAAGTTAATTATTTCAGAAAAAGTGTTCCTTATAAATAAATTATAGAACATGAATGAATAATATAATATAATAATTAAGTTATACTTTTTTTGTGTAAAGAAAACATTCCTGAGGTCCAAAAATCAATACTAATCTGACAAACCTTGAAGTTTCTTCAAAACAGCCACTTCCATTTTGAGTACTTGTTTAGCTTGCTTAGCTGACTCCAGTTTGATGGCAACCAACTCTTTCGTTACAAGGTCCAATCCCTCATATATCTCACCAAATCCACCTCCTCCAATCTTCTTTACCTTCAAATAATATTTAAGGCTTAAAAGACCTTTTAAAATTCCAGCAAGTTTTTATAAAAAAAAAAGGGAATTTGTAAAATTATATCATAATTTTCATCACAGTTAGCAAATCAAAAACTCAACTATTAAGCATGCAAGACTTTATGGTAGAAAACATATTTCAAGTTTAGAGTTCTCAAATCATATCTAAATTTACATGTAACTCATAAAGTACAATACACACATATATGCAACTCTTTGTGGGTTAATGAAAAAAAAACATATTTCATTTAATTTCTATAATGTTAGAACTGTTGTTGAGTTCTTGTCATTCTGTCAACAACTATATGATATTTGGTTCTGAATGTCCCTGACACAATACATCATCTTATCCAAAGTTATTCAGTCTCCATCATCCATGTGACTTATTGCACCAGAACCAAGTAAACTGCATAAGCTCTATTTCACTGTCAAAAGACAGACTTGTTTGTTGCAGTCAGAATATCATAACATATCTCTCCTGGATGTGGAGAGGTGGTTGGAATGTATTTCAGAAGTAACTGCCTGCTTGAAATGTATTTTAATTCTAAAAGTGTTAAACTTAAACCAGGTAGATTTACCTCTGAAATACTGTAAACCAGAATGCCCACATTGAGATGGAGCAAGGAAGAAAAAGTGTCATAATGAAAGACAACTGGTCCACCACATGCTGAGCTTTAAGAGAGGAAAGGTAATTTACACAGACTTACAACAATACTGAGTCTAAGCAGAATCCAGAATCAAAGTGAAAAGCATTGGACTGTATTTGTCATGAACAATTGAGTAGAAAGGACCAGGATATAGAAACTGGACCAAAAATGAAGACAACAGAAGGGAAAATATTCTTCTCAGCACAGTACATCTTTACCCTACACACCCTTTAGTTAAGATGAAAAGGGGATTGGGTGATATGGATCTATCTGGGTAGCCATGTACATACTCTTAAAACTAAATCTTATATTTCAAAGACAGATATAAATCCATAAAACTCATATTTTGTTTACAGACCACAAAATGCATAAGCCTTTGAAAAAAATTTGTAAATTTCAAATTTGCAATTTTTAATTAATTTGTTGTTGATGAAAAAGCTATTGCATTTAAAGTTAATGAACTATCATACTTTATAAATCCTAGGCTTCAGTAGTATAATGTTTGGCAGTTTATGCTTTCATAGCTTTCAATCTTTTATTAATAAATATAAAAACTGACATCAGCATTTTAGTGAATATACAATAAGATTAAGCAGAGGTCATAATAATGCAAAATTGTATTTGTATTCAAAAATTGTCACTTTTTTTAAGTCCTGGGATCTCTTGAAAAAGTTTTGAACACTAGTAAATTCCCTCAGAGACAACAGTTCTTTCAATAAGTGCTGATTTGTGTCTGATTTTACACTAACACACTTATAGAAAAAGCAGCAATGCACCACAATTTTCAACAAATTAAACTCAAGCAATAAGGTCAATGCTGATCAAACTTTGAGGAATTTTGCCAAATACTTGCTGTAGACTACACTGATGTTTACCAGAATTTTTAGTGCTTATTTCAATTACTGCAGTTGTGCCAGTTACCATTGTTCCTTGTGGATCTATTTTTTCTGCCCAAAGCTATCTCAACTCTCACTTCACAGAAGATCATGCAAACAACTAATGGGCCTAATCAACTAAACTTCAACTGTGTCTGGGCCATTAAAATTTATTCAAACAAAAAGGACCACCAGAAGTTCAATTAAGCTTCCAAGTCCTGAACTGAATATAATTTAAATAATTAAAGTATATGAATGCTTTTTTTATATATCTTTTTTCTGAAAATATTTAATCACTATGTATGCATGATCATTTAGCATGTACACAGTTTTAGATACTCATGCATTAAAGATGCACATTTTTCAAAACTTTAATGCAACCTCTGTTAAAAAATCCTTGGCAATTCAATAATGCAGTATAAATGGTTTAATGGACAGATGGATAGATAGTATGAGACTATCGAGGTGAAGTAAAAAAAAACAGCTCCAGGCTTTATGGAAAGTTAAAACACATATAAAAGATACCTATAATTTTCCAATCAAACACTGAAAACTGTGTACTTCTGTTCTAAGATCACAACACTCAACAAAAGGATTAACACACTTAATTCCATAAAACTTTTTATATACATGTACATGCTGAAGGAACTAATTATGAAAAACATTCTATAAATTACTAATGAAAAATGTGTCACACTCATTTAATGCAATTTGTTTGTAGGGTAGTGTGTAGGAATTTCAAATGTATCCAAATTTACTCATAACATTTCTATCTGTTAATCCTTAAATAAATGATAGAAGTATACTAACTGCTCAATATTTTCGTAATCTTTTCACTTACTAGTGTAACCACTAATAAAAAATAAAAAACAAACTATTAAGGAAAACAAACCTTCAGTTCTTAATCCTCAACTTACCAACTTGTGTTTTTTTATTGTTCATCATCTTTGGGAACCACATATTGCATCTTACTGAGTAATTACATAAATATTTCAGCCTATTACAACATTTATTGCACAGAGTTGAAAAAAAAAGGGTTCAATAAAATCACTTTATTTGTATGTTAATACACTGGGGGACCCAAGCAGCAATTGGTATTATTGATTGAAGTATTAACATTATTTTACATTAAATGGTTTTGTGTGACTCATATATTGCTAAGGATTCATAAAGGATTTGGGTGCATAAATAGTCTAGAAAAATGGAATCATACAAACTCTACCAGTAATTTTAGGGCTAAGGAACTTATTTATAATTATCTGCACATTGTTATTGCTACTTTGATTAAGGATATACCCCAAAAACATAGAAATATCTTTCTAAAGAAAGTGTGCACTAATGAAATTTAAAATGTTTAATCCACACATTCAAGAACATAGTTTTAGATAGCTTTAAATGAAGAGCTAGAAAATCTTTGAACTGACCACTTTCCATCTTTCTTTAACTACATGTCCAGGTTGCAGTAAGTCTTCACTTGTCATAGTGATTTGAATATCAAGGTTCTCAAGATTATGTTTTTCACCATTGCAGGAACTGCAGTACTGTTGTTCAGTTTAGCTGTGTATAAAGATACTGACTATTACAACAGTGTTAAAACTATCTTGATAAGTACATATAATGAAATTATACGAAAGGATAGTAATGTATAATTCCACTTTATTTCATATAAAGTTGTTAAACTTTATCAATTTGCATGAAGGAATATTCTTAAAAATTGTTTTAGTTCTATATCGCAATAAGTATCTTAATCAGAATTCATTGTAAGGCACTACACTTTTTGTACCAATTTTTTCTGGAAATCTTTCTGCAACACAATATGCTCATAAGTACTACAACATACAGTTGAAATAAAATTTGTTTTCAGTTAAAGCTCCATCTAAGAGTTTGCTAAAACCAGAATTTAACTTTTTCATTAGAACAAATTAAAATTAATTATATCCATAATAACAACAATATTGTTAGGAACTAAGAGGTGCTTGTGGTAGTTCACCAATTTTCTCACCTATTTTCCTATTATAGAGCGGTGTTTTTAAATGTAATAACATTCTTTAACAGTATCAAGGAAGTAATGCTATTAGACTGGTGCGGTATATTCATAAAAAATACTGATAAAACTCAGTTTTTATTTGATTTGCTTGATCTAGACAGTATTCTTGTTGTTGTTTTTTATCTGTATCTTTACCATGACAAAAATCATTAACAATTAGGTTAAATTACTTTCAATTCCTTTTTAATGTAGCACATACATAAAAATGGAAACGTAGCTCACCTTTTCACATGAGTTATCAATAATTTTCAAATAGTGAAAAACCTACAAAGATACATATGTCCAAATCCAATATCATAGTGACAATTCAATTTTTGTCAACGTTATGTAACTTATATTGATATATTTTACTTGTCTGGATATTTGAATCTCTTGCTAAATTCAAATGTTATGCCCAATTTTTATCTTCTATGACATGAGTTTAATGGCAAGTTGATAGAATGATACTAAAAGCAACAGTGACGCATTAACCATCAAAACATGTTGACACTTATCAAGACTCCTGCCAAAGCTCTTTAAATTCTATTCTAAAATTATCTTCCTATGTATTTTGTAACAAAAAAAGAGATTTTTCTTCACTACATATGTCTTGTCTTTGTTTTCCTTTGACTATAATTGTTTCAATTTCAATAGTAATAAGCCAGAGGCATAAAATATCTCAGAGGAAATGTCTTTTTTTAAATAACAAAAGCAATGAAATTCTTGAAAGTCTCAGTGACTAACTACAGCAAAATAAATAAAAAATTGGCAAGGACAACAGCAGCAAAGTCCAAATAATTTTTTAAACACAAACATAATACATGTACACAAAAACTTGTCTAATTTAATACTTTACAAGATCAAGATGCTAGTACATAATAAATAATGCATATAAGTCACACTTTTTTAATATGTACATAGTTAAATGCTATCACTGCTAGAGTTTATTTATTAAAATTTAGAATGAAAACAAAACTAAAATTTTTAATAAATGTTAGAAAAAACATTTTCAAATGCTTGGGAGGACTTTGCTAGACATAGAGCCATTAATTTCTTTTCTTGCAATAACTACAATTTAAACCAAAATTTATTAACAAAGACAATCTGTCATTCAATTGTAGAACACAAGGAGAAAGTTACAAAAAAAAAAGAAAATCACTCAAAATACTAGCTTCCTGAGATGCCTTCTTATATTTTAGACAAAGTCTGAACCAAAAAACATATCGCAATCAGGTTAGGTAAGGGCACACTGCAATGATTAATATTGCATCAAACAAACTAATCTGAAGAGTATAATTATTCATACAAAATCATGAAGAGAAAACAAAAATTGTATTTACAGGTGACCACAGCTTGAATGGATGATGTTCTCTTTACAGGAAAGACTACTTATGATCAAACATTATTTTTACTTGTAGTATGATAGTGAATATTGGAAATTTATTATTTGGAATTTAAAATTTGCTAACACAGTTCTTAGAATATCTACTTTATGGCATTAATGTAGGCTTTATATTTGAGCAAGTTCCTTAAAATATTCTGATACATCACTATGTCAACCAACAAGTGATCATTCTACCCCAAGAGATCACATGAACTGAGTGAATGGTGCATTGTCTGCTTGGGACTTGAGTCATACAAGCTCATTAGACAGATTATTGAATTAGAAATCCTAGTATGAAACAAGAGTCTAAAGTTCAAGCATGAGTTGGGACATATTTTGTAAAAATCATGATCTATTACATCAAATTGTGTTGTAGAGGCACCTAAAGTGATATTTTCTAAAAAATTTAAGAATTTTTTCTATTTCTATGCTTGGTTATATAGAGAAAGTTTGTAATTAATAAATATTAGAAATATTTAAATTTATCATCCCTGTGCAATAAAAAACACATAATAAATACTTTCATAACAAGGAACTATTACTATAATATCATAATTTTTTTTTACTAAATTGCAAGTATAGGCCACTCTCTCTTTCTCTGCCAGCAAAGTGTAACTAAATGGATATAACTTAAGCATAATAACATTATCTTGCACTTTTATTATTTTTTTCTAAACTCTACTATAACTGATCAGTAAAATTTTCCAATTAAGTACATGTGTGCAACAGACTAGAGTGGAAATAATTCTGCTTGTTAACTGACAATCTTCATTTCATATTTTCAATAATGTTAGAGTTAAAACTTTTTTCTCCCCTTGTAATTAAACTAAAAAGTGTACTATTTGGAAAAAAAACTATTTGTTTACTCTGAACTAAACAGATCCAGATGGTAGCCTCTCTGTATATAATTCAAAGGCAGAGGTGAGTGACTTACACTGCCAATGTGATTATTGTTTTTAGACTGAAGGGCCATAACCTATATCTTATCTTGACATGCATTTTTTTTAGAATCTTCTAAGCCAGTCTGTTATTAGATATTTTTAACTTTCACAAATAAGAGAGAACCAAAAATAGTTATTTTTTCCTCTTAGCCATACACATTGCTATTGTTAGCTTGAACCTTCAGCACAGGCATACAAACATTTATGTTTGGGTGGAATTTTTGTATTTACAATTCTTGAAATACTTTTGTTTACAAATATAAATTCACTTGTACTTTTTAATAAGTTCACAATTCTACCATCATAATGTAATGTTCATGAATGGAAAATCAATTGAAAATATAGTTTCTATAAGTATAATTAACTTGTGTTCATTGTTGTCATGTACTAAATAAAGATGTTTTTCCTTAAAATTATAACAAGTATTTTTCCCATTTCACTATAATTAACTTTATCCAAGATTTTTAAACCAAATATCAACTATTTGACAATAAGATATTAATTTATACATTTTACATGTATTTACTATTTTCTTCACAATATTTTATGGCAAAAAGTTTACAAGTAAATGAATATTTGTTGTTTTCACATATATTAAATTATGCATATGGTTATTAAGGTAAAAAAATTAAAATAGCAAAATTAACATATTATTCAAAAGTAACAATGTTCTTGAAGATAGTATCTGGAGAAGATAATTCAAACTATGATAAAGAAATGTCTACTTTTGTCTCTTGAGCATCACTAAAGTAAAAACATACACTGCAAATGCGTGTATTGTTTCTATAACTGATTCAATTAATCATACAAAAGCAAAAGTTAAAATAGCATATTAACAAACATAAACAATAAAACATCAAGAAAAGGAAGAAATTTATGAATACATATTACATTAATTATTTACACTTTTCGATAGATAACTTAAGACAACCCATATAGTAACACTTTTTTAACTCTTTCAATACGGGGTCAGTCAATGTGATGACCTCGTAACCATTTTGTACTTGTTATAGTTTTCATAACTTTTAAATTAGTAAGCAAATGTTAATGAAATTTGGCAGTTTGTCAGTAAACATTACAATGCTTTCATACACAAATATCTAATTTTTATATTAAGTTGTAAGGTTGTCATGCTTTATTTTCACATCATTTTAAGATTAAAAATACTTTTGTGCATAAGAAAATTTTGAAATTTCATATGTGAAATCTTTATAATGTCCAGATAGCTATCAAATTTTCTTAAGAAAAAACTTTATATTTTATCTGTTATTCTCAGTAATTAATCTCTGTATGGGTTCAGTAGATTTTAATGATCTTGCAACCACCATAAAAATTTAGTAAATAAACATAAATTATGCCTATTTCATTCTAGAATGAACACAAATTATAACACAAAAACATAAATGTTTAGACGAAATAGCTTAAATCTCATAACATTATACATTTATATATATTTATTGTATTGTCCTTTCACTCGTGCCTGGCTAACAATACAGTAGTTACAATGATGCAGCTCACATGCACTCATGTTACTGTATCAAATAACATAAAACTGACCTTTGATCTGTACAAAGTAACTTGTCTTGGCTGTGTTTTAGTCGACCCGTATTTTGTAAAAGACAGTCACATTTCAATTATTATACATTATATGTGTATATAGATTATTGCTATTTTAAAATAAGTTATTTAAACATATTTTTCCTAAAACTTTAGAACAGTAAATAAAGAAGTAAAGCAAACAATTATCTCTTTTAGTTACAACCTTTATACTCAGTTGCTGCTTGACATAGGTTGCTAAGCCTTTAAAAATTTTGTACATGGAGGATATGAAACAAAATATTTTTTGTTTTATATATACATTTGAATAACTACAAAATCATAAATTACTACATCAATAACATAGAATTCAATTATAATTTATCAAGCTTAGTAACTAAATGTATTTTAGTCTAAACAATATGAAATTTCAAGTAGACTAAAGACACAACCTAGCTCATTGAAGTCATGGTTCAAAAGAAAGAAATGGCACTAGCCACGTTAGAAAGGCTGAGAAAACCAGGAGGACGTTCTGAGCTTCCAATTGGTTATTCATGTCATATATAGAAGTAAGTGAATATAAGGGAACATTTCCAAAAATGGAAAGAGGTGGGTGGAATGCCACTGTGTTTGATTTATTAGATGAGCAATATCTTAACAAACAGAAAAGATAACACCTTCTTATTTTATATTCTAGCTTGTCAATATCTGTAATTTGAGTTTCTAATTTGTACAAAACTGTAGACTTTGTATTTTGACTTCACAAACATCTAATTTGAACCAGTGCTGCATTCAACATACCACGTGACACATAAAAATCAATGTTTATCTGTGTTTTTTTTTATATTTACTTTTAAATTAAGAAATTGAGTTATGTATAGCTTTAAAATTTGAATTCTAATCTACAGTTTGATACCAAAGTTACTGACATAAATTTATGAAATAGTAGTTCCATAAAATTTTGAATGCGAGTCAACAACGAGATGACATGGCCTTTCACCTGACCTGTCTCGAAAGGGTTAAGTAGATCACTTAAGACAACCCGTATAGTAACACTTTTTAAGTAAACAACTTAACACAACCTGTATAGTAACACTTTTTAAGTAAACAACTTAACACAACCTGTATAGTAACACTTTTTAAGTAAACAACTTAACACAACCTGTATAGTAACACTTTTTAAGTAAACAACTTAACACAACCTGTATAGTAACACTTTTTAAGTAGATAACTTAAGACAACCCATATAGTAACACTATTTAAAGTAGATAACTTAAGACGACCCATACAGTAACATGGATAACAAATCTTCTATGGTTTAAGTAAACAGTTATTCCTGAAATTGAAAACATTTTCAAAATTTCCTATAAAATGTATAATTTGATAAATAGTTTTTGCAGCTGGACAAGTTTTTAATATTTTTATGGAAGTTTAATTTATTACAGAATCACTTTATTAAAATAATAATAAATTTCATGTTTTAACTTCAGCTTTACTCTAATTTTAAGATCAATTACAAGGATGGTGATTGATTTTTTCTCCCATTAACTTGAAGGTTCATCAGTTATTTGGTTGCTTTATGTATAAATGTTTACTATTATGCAAAATTAATTACTGCTAAATTTGTGAACGTTCCTGATAATGCATGGTTTATGAAACTGTTTTATCTCAAGAAAGTTAATTACATAAGTACATCAAATTGGTTGAATATCTAGTAGCATATCATCGGATCAATGAGAACTTATACATTGCACTATCTGTTTTATGTAACCCAAACCCATGTTAATCAAAACACCATTTCACAAATATCCTCATATACACCTTTTCATGATGAAACATAGGGTAAAACAAAAACCTTTAAATGTACATGTGTAAAACTACATTACTTCTCTAATCAGGTCAAGGTCATCTAATACTCATGCATAATTAGACCTGGGAGTATTGGCAAAATGCCCTATGAAGGCTTTCCAGTAATTAAAACATTCATGTTAACAAGCTAAAAGAATAAATATTAAAATAATATAATACCAAATAGAATATAAAATGCATGGGATGCAAAACAGAAGCTTTTACTAACACCTCCAATATACTTTACGTCTCTGGTAGAATTATTACTAATGTGATAAACATTTCTTGACAATGTCCAAGCACTTTCTAGCTTACTAACTCAAATGCTCCAAAGAATACTGTCAAGAATCTATGCAACTCACCAGAAAAACACTATTAACTGTGAATACATCCAATTCGGAAATCCATAAAAGTTACAAAGCAATTAATGTTCAAGATAATTCTACATTAATGTCAAGAACAACTACATGTCTAGATCTTTAAATGGGATTATAAAGGTGGAGGTAAATCCATTTCTTATAATTTTTTAAATACAATTTTCTAACTTGAAAATTTTTAAGTTTAAAGCTGTAACCAGTATTCTTCCATATATCTAGGTGTTTCATAAAGAACTTATTTATTGGTTTGTTGTTAAACAGAAAGCTACACAATGGACTATTTGTGCTACATCCTCCACAGGTATCAAAACCTGGTTTTTAGCATTATTAGCCTTCAGGACTTACTGCTGAGTCACTAGGGGACCTATATAATGTAAAATAATTTATTGTGTTCAAAAAATAAATACCCCTGTCAATAGTGCTTTTCTGTATACCTTTGTTGCTTTACAGTAACAGCAAAATAGTTTAAGTTGTAATGAACCTATAAAGGCTATTGCTAAAACAATAAAATATATCTATCTAGAAAGATACAAATTCTATGAACGTAATTACAAAATATAGAAATCATGAAATGGCTAGGATTTTAAACGTGCCATTTGCTTAACTGTGGAATTTGCTGTTCACACAAGGCAAATACTTACGTTGAACAGTAGCATTTTACTAATTATCAGAATAACTAAGATTCTGATAGATAAACTATTTATTCTATTGAAATAGTTTGTATTATTCTATTACACACACATGTGGATTAAACAATTACTAACATCAAATTATAAATTTTGTTGTACATATTAGTTTAATGCATTTTATTGTTTCAATAATGTCTCAAAATTAAGAAGTGTTTCTGATCAATACATATATATAGCATATAGGAGACATAAGTCTTTAACAATTTTTATACACATGGATCACTCAAATTAGTAAGTGCTAACAGACCTAATACCTTTTTACTTTTTTAATTCTTAGTAGTCTGTTACATTTTTCTGACTTACCTAATGTATATTTCTCCCAAACCTTTTCTGATATTGAAAAATATAACCTATCATCACTTTTGAAGCTCTGAAGCCCATAGAAATTATATGATTGATTATAATTAAATATTAGATAAACTACAACAGTCTTATGCTGCAATCTGTTTAAATCTAAATACTGTTGATATCTGATAAATAATTTAACATAAAAATACATTATTACTGTAACATAACACCTTTGAAATGGAGAAAAATTACACTTTTTAAATGCAAGAATGTTGACATTTTATTGCATAATTTTATAATGGAGATGAAGTATTTCATCATTCAAATTATTATACAAAATTTGTAATTTTCTGAGTGTACACTTATATAACAGTGACTAACACAATATAAATAATCTATGAGCATGAGATTTTTAACTGACTCTCCACTGATAACAATAATCTTACTTCATATTATAAGACAGTGTGTGCATGTGTTATAAATATTGACAACTTTGTAAAACACTTGTCAAAACATTTAGTTTTTCAAAAATACTAAGAGGAAAGAATGAATAAACATACTCCTTGAATTTGTTTAGGTTAATTTTCAATTTCCTCACTTTAATCAACCAAGGAACCATTATCAACTGTTCTGTTTTTTCTTGCTGGTAAATACTGCATGTAAAATCTAAAAGACAAAATCCAAATGCACTGTCAAGCTGTCATTGTGTCAATAAATAAAAAAGGAAAATAAAAAAATGAGTAAGAGACTAGCTTTAAAGCTATAAAAACTTTTTTATTTTTTTTTTCACTGGGACAAACCAACAGAGTATGGAGTGCCTGATACTGATACTTTGAAAATCATGTTTATGAAATCTGAGATATATTACATGTTGTTTAGATTAGTAAAATAATAAAATAGCAGTGGCCAGTGACAATCCTGACCCTAAATTATTTTACAACAAAAAAGAAAGCCAGTTATTGATGAATTCATACTACCCTTGTCCTTACAAATAATACCTATATTATATCATTTTAACATTTTTTTCTTCTTTTACATAAACTTCATAACTTAAATGTCTTAATATGATTTACCATTTTAATACTTAACTTGTAAGAATATCGTAATCCAATGACAAAACTTTCACTTCTATGTTTTGGAGTAAAATTAATTTGTACACTTTCCTTCATGTAAATAATATGTATATATAAATATAATATTTTCATCACATTAAATTTTATTGGTCAATTTACTAAGTTATCATACACAATACTATAAGTATAACACTACAATATAGGCCTATATTAGGTTACACTAGTCTACAGTACTTTAGTCTTTTGCACATTTTCAAGATACATTACATTGCACTCGGGTCGTAGCTCGGCATATGCAAAATCGCTCATCCACCAAGTTAGTTTTGATACTAAAAAATTTTGGTTTGTCACTTTATTATGAAATATAAAGCAATTTAAACTATAGCAAAGTATTGAATACAGGGGATCACTTTGAATTACAAAAACTCACCCAAAACAAGTTCGGCAGACATCTATTTTCGTGGTATTTCGGCGACTTACTAATCCATCTCAATTTTCCGCATAAGTCTACCCACAATCCTGCGGAACGACCAAGTAGTGTAATGATTTTAAACGCCATCTAGTGAAAGTTTGTATAACTATTTCACACTTCGTTCCAGGAACGTTTACTGATGCCAAAACGAAAATTTAATCTGCATTAACGTTTGCTCATCGTCTGAAATCTACTCACCCACATTTAGAGAAAAATAAAAATTCGGTTTTCTTCAAAGTTTTTCTAAAAATGTTTAAAAAATAGCGTATTAAATTCATTATATATATAATATATATGTTTTGCTTGATTTGAATTATAAATCACTTTTGTTTTTATTCAGAAGTATTCGGCAGATCGCATACAATATACTCGTAGATAAGTTTATCAAGGGGTTACCTCGTGAGATGATGAGATATCACTTAGGTGTGAGAGATCTTCTCACCCTAACGGAGACAGTTACCACAGTGACAAGGTTCAAAATCGTAACTTCGAATAAATCGCAGGGGAGGAGCAAACCTGCATTGGCTGTACTTCGGACAGAGCACCTCACGAAATGTGGGCATTACGCGGAGCTCGGGCCTTGACAAAGGCAAACCAGCAGCCAAACAATCCTGGCATTGCAACACAACCCTACTGGCTCTGAATACGTGGGTAGGATTTCTTTAATCCTCCCATGATATTTATGCTTCAACCCGGCCGTGCTGATGATGCTTTTATATAAATGTTGCACTGGAAAAGAAGATCAAAACGCCTTCTTTAAATGTGAAAAATTGGATCACTTTAAAGTGAGCTGCCCACACCTTGTCATGCAGCAGGGTATGTGAGGGTTCCAGTTTCATCCAACTGCACAGCAGTTACACGAGGGCTCTCAGCAAGCTATAATTACTGGAACTTTGGCTCCAGGAAAGTACTGTAACCAAAATCAGGTCAGGTCACTGACTTGGGGGAGTGTGGTAGATAGCTTGTACCAAACGTTTGGTACTCAGCCTAGCTCTTCAGGGTTGAATGGTACGTTGTACGTGCCTGTAAAGGTACAATAATGAAAGATAAAGTTCGTGGTTGATACAGGAGCTGCCAAAATGCTGGTTACTCTTACTGTGTATAATGTGCTCTGAGTAAGTCCATCACATGGCCAATTAACACTGACTTCATTCTTGTGAATGATGATAGGCTAAGTGTTACTGGAACAGCACGTCTCTGATGTACCAACTTCAGGTGTGGTGACCTCACCACAGAATGAAGGGTAGTTGTGTCCAAATGGGTTTCTGGGATTGGTATCCTAGAGCTATACATACTGTGAAAGTTTTTAATCAGTTTTCCAGTGCAACAGGTGAACTATATTTCCACAGGAAAGTCATATGACCAGCCAGACCAGGTCCAGAAACAACGAACTGTTTGAGTATATGTTATAGAGAGAATCATAGTACCTCTGTGTAAACAAGTGGTGTTCTGTGATTTACTACAGACGAGATTTAGCACATTCGTTTCATGTAATATGGTGTACAAACCAATACATGAAACACATTACTTGCTTTTCAGGTAACATTAGCTTAAACAAAGATCTGTCCAAGAAGAGATGAGGCCTTAGGAATTTTTCTGCAATTATAAATGGTTGGCAACAAGTTAAGTGAAGTAAGGTGCTCAGTGGTTCAACACTTTAGACCTGGAATTCACATACTGGCAAGTTTAATTGAATAATGAGAGAAAACCTAAAACTGCTTTCGGCATACAAGATGGGTATTATAAGTTTGGCATCATGTCATTCAGTTTGTACAATAACATAACCTAAAGTTTTGGAACAACATGGGACCTATTGATTCATTTTGGCTGTTCCATCTTCTCAACTAAACTAAACTATTAATAAATAAATTCAAAAAAATCCTAAAGCCAATACTTATCATTCATATACCTATCAAGTTTTCTCTTAAACTCACTTAAATTTACTGCTTCCACAATATCCGAAGGCAACTCATTCCAAAAGCCAACCACCTTATTAGAAAAATAAAACTGTCTTAGCTGAAGATGCCTCCTACCCTACCAAAATATATACTTGTGTCCCTTAATCCTCCTATTCTCACTGTTAAGTATGAAAAAATATGATGCCTCAACACTATCAATTCCCTTTACAATCTTAAACACCTCAATTAGTTCCCCATAATTCTTCTTTTTTTCAAAAGAAAACAGTTTCAGAGATTTCAACCTCTCCTCGTATGACAACCCCTCCATCCCAGCACCATTCTAGTAACCCTTTTCTGAACCCTTTCCAACAATTCAATATTTTTCCTAGGGTAAGGAGCCTAAGTCTGAAGACAGTATTCCAAATTTGGCCTAACCAGTGACCTATACAATGAAATTATAACCTCCTTAGACTTGTATTCAATATTTGTGTTGACACAACCTAAAATCCTATTTGCTCTACCACTAGCAGCAGCACACTGTTTGAATGGCTTTAGAGACTGATCAACTGTTACATCAAGATCTCTTTCTTTCATGATACTGTTAAGGTTATTCCCATCCAAATTATACTTATAATTCCAATTATGATAACCCAAATGCATTATCTTACATTTATTATAATTAAAACCCATTTGCCATTTATTTGTCCAACTCACTAAATGATCTAAATCATTTTATAAATCAGCAGCATCCTCTTCACAGCTAACAACACCCAAGATAATATCATCTGCAAATTTAAATAATTTATTGATTATTCCTTCATCTATGTCATTGGTGTAAATCAAAAAGAGGAAAGGTCCTAAGACTGGGCTCTGAGGTACCCCACTTGTACCATTAATCTAATTTGACTAAACTCTATTTGTAACAACCCTCTGCTTTCTTCCATCTAGCCACTCTTCTATCCAATTTGCTAACTTATCCCCCACACCTATAGAGGTCATTTTTTACAAGCCTTTTATGTGGCACCTTGTCAAATGCTTTCCGAAAATTAATATACACCAAATCTACACTCTTACCCTAATCTTCATAAGCAGTAACCTTTTCAAATACTAATGGAGATTACATTAACGGGGCTTCAATGGGAATAATGCCTGGTCTATGTCAATTTGTTGTGGTTTTCGGTCATACAATCGACTTTGCTGCTTAAAACCTAAGTTAGTACTTCAGTAGATAAGAAAGGGAGTGTTGAAGCTCAAATCAGGGAAATATACGCTTATGTGCACACAAATGGAATCTCTCCCATAAATATTGGGTAGAGATGGAGTTTCTACTGGGCATATGAAGATCGCAGCAGTGTAAGACTGGCCTCGACCCATGACCAAAAGAAATATACACAGTTTTCTTGGTTTTGCATGTTATTACTGACATTTTGTGGGCAACATTTCTAAGATTGCTCCATTTTTGTCAGCTCTCTCTAAAGCTGATGAATATGGTAAATGGACTGAGAAATGTCACCAAGCATTATTGTTACTGAAACATGCTTTGATTGACGCTTTAGTTTTAACATATTCATAATGATATTATGACTTCCTGTTGGAGTGGTGCATATGATAGTAGAATTGAGGAAGTATTGTCACACTTGCAGGATGGAGTGAAACATGTAATCACCTACACTAATTGTTTTTTTTTTCATACATTACAGAACTACGTGCAGAGTAGAAAGCTTGCCATTTGAGTGGACCATGCATTGTTGAAGTAACTTATGAACTTTGAAAGTCCAGAAGAACATGCTTGCCCTTTCAGCTGTGGAGTTTTTATAATGTGGTGGTCAATTCCTCTTTTTGTTGGTAAATAATAGCTTAAGAGTTGGTGTTGAGTGATGTTGACTACTGCCTTTCCTCTAGTCTATCACTGTTAAAGGACGGCTGGGTAGCACTCGGGTAGCTTTGCACAAAATTAAAAAACACAAAACAAATCCTAATAAATAATTCTTCCATTCTGTACTTGAGCCTATCAGACACAATGAAAAGCTATTGTCAACTATATATATTCTTCGATACGTACATGTAGGTACAATAGTTCACAGAAATTCTTCCAAAAAACACTGCAACCCTACGGAACAACAGCAAGATAGAACCAGTCAACTGTGGTCACCATCCACACCTATACGAAATTCCCTATGTTGTTGGTGCATGTAGGTTTAAACGGACTCTTCAAACTTTATTCAGAATTTTAAATTGTAAAGGTAAAATTTGGCTTAGGTTACGACATCATATACAAGAATATAATAAATGCAAGAGAATGCATAAGGGATATCACAATTTGAATTATGAGTATAATTTTGATGGGAATAACATTAAAGTGTTATGGAATAAAATGATCCTGGGTTTCTGTTGTTCAGTCTCATAAGCCATCCAAGCAATGTACTGTTGTTACAGGTAGGGCAAATAGAATTTTAGATTTTATCTACAGAAATATTGAATACGAGTCTAAAGTTGTTATAATGTCATTGGATAGACCACATTTGACGTACTAGGTTCAGTATTGGGCTCTTTACCTTAGAAAGGACGTTGGAAAGGGTTCAGAGGAGGGCTACTATAATGATACTTGGGATGGAAAGGTTGTCGTAGGAGGATAGCTTAAGCTTTCTGAAATTGTTTTCTTCTGACAAAAAAAGAAAAGAATTACAATGGACCTGATAAGTGTTTAAAATAGTAAAGATAACTGATAGTGTTAATGTACCATCTTTTTTGTATTTAACGGTGATAACAGGAAGACTAGGGAACACAAATATAGCAGGAGTAATCTTCAGCTAAGATGGCTTTAATTTTTTAACAATGTGGTTGACCTTTAGAATGAGTTACCTTTAGATTTAATAGATTAGTTATTTTAAGGGTGTTTAATGGAAGGGTTGATAAGTATTTTAACGGTAAGGGCTGGCTTTGAGTGTTTTACATATATTTTATAGTTTAGTATAGTGAATAGTATAGACGGCATAGATAGAGTAATAGGAATATGTTGTTCTTAAATTATACGTATTATATATAAGGAAACCCAAAGAAGCAGTGAGGCCAGCACCTAACACAGATAAATTAATACGAAAGCATATAA